TCAGACTCTTATATGAATGAAATCATACAGTATAGAAAATTTCCAGATTGACCGCTTTTACTCAACCTGATATTCTTGAGATCCATGGAAGTCTATGTATTTACCACTATTTATTTCATTTTGTTTAAAATAAATTGTATGCATGAACCACTATTTGTTTATTCTTGTACCAACAAAATAAGATTTTAACTGTAAAGTTGTGAACTGTTACTAGTAAAACAATTATGAACATTTGATGCTGTCAAGTTTTTAGTGAAAGTGAATTTCTCTAAGAAAAATGCAAATAATTATGTGCAAAGTACCAAAGCGATGAAAGAGGAACAGAATAACCTTTTCAGTAAATGGTGCTGGATAGATTTCTACCTGAAAAAAATGAACCTAGATTCCTAGATACTTATTTCACACTATATACAAAAATGTGTTTAAAATAAATTATGGACCTAAATGTACAAGTTAAAATGACAAATATTAAGATATCTTCATAAACCTGTGGCAGACAAAGCCAAAACAGAAAACATAAACTAAAAAAAAATTGATAAAAAGTAAATTTTACTTCAAATTTAAAATAATTTAAGTTTCTTTTCAGGAAACATGATTTAGAAAATGAAAATTCAAACAACTAGGAGAAAAATTGCAGTCTCTTTATCTGTTTCTTTCATAGTCATGTGAAAAGATACTGAATAGTATTAATAATTGATAAATAATTCAAGTCATGATATCACTCCATAGATGTTAGAGTGCTTAAAACAGAAGTTACTGAAATGATTTGTGATGGTAAATTGTACAGAGAAAATGTTCTTTCATTCATTGCTGGTGCAAATCATACATATGTCCTTAGAAAACTGTTGTCAGCTTCTTATGACATTATTTTCCCTTCATAGATGCATCTGTCTTAATGTAAGTAACAAAAAGTATTGATTATTGAGACTTTATTTCAAGTCTTGAATTGAGGTATTGTTTCTTTTATTTGCTATTTTCTCAAGATTGCTTTGGTTGTTTGTATATCCTCATACATTTTAAAATTAGTTTGCCCATTTTCACCAAAAATCTTTATGAGACCAAACTGACTCCATAGATCATTTGTGGGACAGCATCCTCCTCAAGCAGGCTTGAAGAGTAACAGGGCACACAAAGGACTTCTTTTCAGAATGACTAGAAAAGCCTCTAGCTTCAACAATTGTGATAAGCATTTCCACATTCTTTTTCTTATGTATCCACTGGATTATTTGACTTTAAACTGACTATGTGCAACAGATAATTTTACTTTAGCTAGTTTTAGGCTTTGAAAACAGTTTGTTCATGTCTAACATATGTCTAACCTTTTCTATAAAATCCTCCATAGAAAGGAATCGTGAATTCAACAGTTAATTCAACTGATTTTTGCCAGCTTATCTGATATACTACATCTTTTAAAAGATATTTATTTATTGATAAGTTGCAAAGAAATCCTTAAATTTTACTTTATGTTTTTTATTTATCTTTCATATTTGAATCTTCAAAGCTTCTGAATTCCATCTAAATCCTATCCACTATTATAAAGGAGCTTTCTCTTCCTTTATCACACAATGCATTCCAATACAGTCATAGGTCTGCTCCTGAGCTCATTAGGAACTTTATTCACCCAAGTGTGTGACAGTACCATAAAGTTTGCTTTAGCTTTATGAAGTCTTTATATAAAAGTTGCTATTATTTTTCCCTGTTGGGACAGATATCTCCCTCCTTGGGTTTTTGTGTCTCAAAGGCCATTTCAGAGAGATTTCTCACATTTACCCCAAATCAACTGTGATACTGGTTAGAATTATTCTTAATTTACACTTTATTTGGTCACATTTTTTTGTGGTAATGGGGATTGAACCCAGGGCCTTTACACTGAGCTACATCTCCAGCCATTTAAATTTGCATTTAAATTTTGAGAGAATGCCTCATTAGGTCAATAAATTGGCCAGGTGAGGTTTGAACTTGTGATCCTCCATCCTGGGCCTCACTGGGAGCTGGACTGAATATGTGTGCATGGTATCTGACTAAGTTGATACATTTTATATACTGAGCTGATGCATTCATGAATGACCAATTTAATGCTACCATATGCTCAGGTGAAATTTAACAATTGAATCAACAACTTGTATTTGCTAAGTTTCTGCCTGCTGGGTCTCAGTTGAATCTCTATAGAAACTGTATTAGTTAAGAGAACTGTCTGGTTCACAGACCAGCAGCAGAGGAGCCTGGATTTCTCACCCCAAGCTATGAAAACCACCAGAGTGCACTTTTCTTGCTACAACTATAATGAGGTTCATCTTCCCTTGATGTTAAGTCCTGCTCCTGCTTCCCCCCACTCCAACCCCTACCAGTGATTCACACTGAGTTATATCCCCAGACTTTCAATTATTATTATTATTATTATTATTGTTTTTTGGAGACTAGTTCTCAGTAAGTTGCTAAACTTCCCAGGGTGGTTCCCAATTTGTGATTCTCCTGCTTCAGCCTTCTAGAGCACTGATATAACAGTTGTTTGCCACCAAAGAAGTGTCTTGTGTTTTCCACAGAAATTGCTCCCAAAAGCTTTCCTCAATAAATTTTCTGTACTCAAGTTTCAAAATCTCAGAGTATATTCTTAGATTCATATTCATATTTCAAGATGAATCTTTCCTGGAAAATCTGCAAGTTTTCAGATATACTTATTTCAGTTAACAATAAATTTGTTTTATTTTTGATATGTCATGATAGATTTTTTTAATGTAATAAAAATGACATTTTGTATCTTTTTTCCTTAATCCTCACTGGTCTGCAGCATATTTGGCTCTTGTAGGAAGAAAGAAAAGACAGACATGTTCTTTACTAGTTTCTTTTAAACTCAGGGTTTTAATGTTTGATTATGATTTGTTCTATCCTCATTCTCAAAGTTAAGGGAAGAATGTTCTTACTGGTGTTTATACTTATGTCTATTAAGAAACAATTCACTGCAGTTTTGCATTGTTTCTGATACAAAATCACTGCCAATTCATTTGCTGGTTCTTTGTAGGTAATCTTCGAATTCACTAATTCTCTCTTATTGTATCCAGCCTAGGCCTACATTTCAATGATTTTTACAAAAATCTAGAATTACAGGTGGCTAATTTGTGTATTTATCTAATCTTTAGAGCATTAGGTCCCTTTTATGACTTTCCTTTTATTTTGGGAGGGATTTAGGTATCTTCAGGGTTCTTCTTAAGCAACAGTTTCAGTCACTTGTTTTCGTCTTCCTCTTCATGGTGGTTGGGCTCCAATTTGGAGATCATCTGTCTCTCCTTGCCTGGCATAGGTGGAAAGTGAGAGCTTGTCTTCCCTAAACCTGTAACACCACCACTCTGAGCCTTCCAGCATCCCAGTGTCATTCTGATCTAAGTCACTAGTCTCTTCCTTTGTCTCCTCTGCATGGTTCTGCTCCACTCCAATTTACATGGCTTTTGTATCTTTGAAAAGAGGCATTTATTATTGCTATATATATATATATATATATATATATATATAATTTGAGTGTTAGGGTAAAAGAGGATTAATGGCAGAGGATTAAACTCCTAAAACCACTTCTTACATAGCCTAACAGATTTTCATTCATTTTTAGATGTATAATAATTAAACATTTCTTTTATCATGACATTCCGTGGCAATTTTGTTTTCACTATTATGGCTCTAAAATGAGACCTGTTCAATCTGTGCCAATGTGTCGTCAATAATATTTTGGTTGTTAACAGCCAGAAAAACCATTTTTCCTTGGGTATTCTGCATGCTACTCTCCCAGAGGGATCTGTATTAAAATGCAATTAGTTGATGAGTTGTTATTCTGAATCTGTACAAATTCTATATTCTTTATAAATACATAAGTTTTAGCTAGTTGTTACCCTGTTTTTTAATTTTTTCACTTCCTGGAAAACTCCTTGAACAAACTTTTCATAAAAATGATTAATATAACTGAACTAGACACTGTAATACACATTTACATAAAATACATTATCGTTGTTTGAAATTTTACATGGCAAACTAAATTTCCTTGGCAAAGGTAGAATCTGAGCAAGGGGGTACTAGATGTTTGTTATAAATGGAAGGTGTTACAGTGTCAGTCACCTGAGATATCCATCTTTACCTACCAAAGAAGATAAACAGTTTTGTCACTGTTGAGAGGCCCACAGTTCTCACTTTGTGGGATCCATTTTTTTCTAGATCTTATATTGGTGGTTGCCTTGGCTTCCACAGTCTTCCTTCTACTAGCACCTGATACAATTGAATTCAACAAAGAACATTCGCTGCAATTGTCTGGAGTTCAGAATTTGGTTTCCCTTGATGCTCCAATTATATACCTTTTAGAGTAAGTATTAGTTCACTCTAGAATACTTCCAGTGATGAAGCTCACATTTACTCTTCTTTATTTAGAGGAAAAAAAGCAAAACAGAAAAAAGATAGATATAATACAGAATTTCAAACAAAACAAAACAGTAAGAAATCACTAGTTGATAAATTACCTATTGTTATCTTAGAAGTGGTTGCTCAACTCACAAAATCAAAGCATAAAAAGTGGACAATCAGACAATGACAGTACAAACCATTGTTTGATGACCTAACAAACTTAGTATGGTTATCTATCTTGCACACTTAAACATACATACTTATTTTTTATATGGGTTGATTTGAGTTGTGAAGATGCCCTGGAGTCTACAAATTCTACTCTCTTAATATTTTCAAGAAATATATTTCATTAAGCAATTTCCATCCAATTAATTTTATTTCAAAGTGGTAGTACACTAGTACTTTTATGTGTCAAATACAATTAATATTTTTGAAGCAACATCATATTGTAAATTTATAAATCAAGAAAACCTGGTATTATTTCAATGTAGTATTTTGAAATTGCTCCCAAAGTTGTGATATTTTTATAGTTTAAACTAATTATGAGCATATTTATAGTATCATTTATTGTGCACTGCTCTTCTGTAACATTTTTCTATAATTTTAAACACGTTTCTTACCACAAGTTGAACTCTTCCACCATTAAGTACATCTGGATCTAACTCAGGTAAGAAGTGATCGCTACATAGTAACAAAAAGAAAGAACAGATTACAATAGAAAATGTATGAGAAGATATGAAAAAATGCCCAAGTGAAAAATTTGGGATATCATGATTAATTAAATGGAGATAATAGGCTTTTAAATTAGGTCTATGCAATGTAAATACACATTTACATCTTTCCATAGTTACTTTAAAATTTCATTTTCTACATGACCTTAATTCTGCCCTTCTTTATCACACAAAAACACATCAAATGGCAAGGATCTGAAAATATTAATCGTGAAAATTGATAAATTATAGAAAAAGTTCAGTGCTTTGTATACATTTAGTTATATACTGTATTTTAGTTGTCTTTTGAGAAGGGTAAAGCTTACTAGTTTAAAATAGCTATAGTACATACTTAGTGCATTACACAAACACATATAATGAACACTTATTTAACTAGCATTGACAGAAGCAGCTGCACAATTTTTCTTAGAATATGCTTTTAGTTGCTATATTTCCAAAACAAAAATCACATGACTAATTGTTTATCATTTTACATACTTAAATATAGATCATTTATTAGTGACACTTTTTTTTTTGTTTTTTGTTAATGGGGATCAAACTTACAACCTCACACTTGCCATGCAGGTGCTTATGTCACTGAGCTAAACCCTCAGCTTATTAGTGATACTGTTAAACATCAAAACATATCTAAAAATCATCCTGAAAAACTTTGCTTCTAATTTTCTGTGTGCAATATCTATACTACTGCAATTATATTTGGTTAATACAAATGTTAGATGATGGATTCTGTTCCATTTATTTATAATCATAAGGATGCTATGTTAATAATTAAGTTAAATTTATTAGTACCAACATAAAATAATTTCCATCACTTTAAAGATTTGAAAATAAAATTCCTCAAGCATTTATGGCTTCATTTTTACTCTTTGTTCCCAAAAATTATTGCACAATTTAAATTACAAAATGTCTTAATTTTATTTTCATTTACACTTTCATATAAGTTCCATATTTTGAAAGAAACAGAATGGATATATATCATACACAGAAATTCAATTTATGTACGTTAAATTACAGTTTTTTTTTTTTTTTTTTTTTTTGTCTTTTTCCTTTTTATCGGTACCAGGGATCGAACTCACGACTGCCTGCTTGCAAGGCAGGCGCTTATGCCGCTGAGCTAAATCCCCACCCCGTAAATTACAGTTTTAACTATCAAATGTATAAATAATATAAAGAAAATACAGACAACATTTGCTGTATACTTTCATGTTTCATTGTCTAATGTAGAATAATTTGTGTGAGTTAACTGTTGGTGTTAAGCATTACAGAATAGAGTTCCTCCTAAACACTTTATGGTGAAATATATATAAGGATCAATTAAACCTTTTTCTATGAAAGGCCGGTTTATAACCTAGCAATTTAGTGTATTGGCCCTTGGCTATAAAATCATGTTTGTGTTAGCACTATTAGCCCAGGTTTCACTTTCCAAGATGTGTTTACAATACAAAAATCTAATTTAAAGGAAATGATCTCACCTTTTCATATTTCTGGAACTGGTTGTTTCATGAACTCCAGCCTGTGAGTGAAGCCACTGGTATGTATATGCCTTATTCCATTCTAACTTTTCACTTGCAGCGGTATCTTTGTAGATTAAGTCTTCTTCCTTCCCTGGAGAAGACCCATAGGAAGGTTATTATTTGAGGAAATAAACTCTGGGTATATAACTCAGTGAAGAGAAACAATTTCATCTTAAGAATGAAAAAATTACCAATTGATGGTGACTAAATCATCCAAAGTAAAATAGATTCAGGCACTTAAAAATTGAGTATTTTTTCTGCTTGAGTTTCAAACCCATCTATTTGAAAAATAAATGTTTTATGAAACCATCATTTAAAAATTTTGTGTTTTAATTCAAGTACTTGAAGATTTTTGTTCGACAAATTCTAATATAAAAAGAATGTATGTTTGCTGTCAAGTTCTTCAGGCTTAGTTTCCAGTCTAGCTGTTACCAGCCTTACCCATACACTGGAACTGTAGATCATACTGAGCACATTTGAAACAGGATTTCAATAGCATTTAAAACTGAGCTTGGTTTGTGTAAACTAAAATAACAGGTTTAACTCAAGCCCTACATCCAAATAATACATTTCTACACACACACACACACACACACACACACACACACACACACAATTTGTGTGAAATAAACCTCCATCAGATTGACATTGGTTCTAGCTCAGTGACACACCAAGGACTGTCTGTTTTAAATCCTTCTTTCTTGACCATATGTAGGTACTTGTTAGCTCTGTAGGCCTGGGTGACTGTATATGACAGGAATATACCTCTTCAAAACGACTCATGGTAATTAAATTCATAAAAATGATTTAAAACCTGATTTTTTAAAATGTCAGGCTTCATTTGAAATACTATTTCACTATACCTGCTTGTAGGAAGTCAATATATTTGCAAAGAAATGAATCATGTTATAAAGCATATTTTGAAGGCACATGTGTATGCACATATATACTCCCGCATGTACACCAAGTTAATCTTGTGTCATTGTAAACATACTGAACATAATACATCTAAAACATCTTTTTTCTGCATAACTAATCAGTGAAATGACTTGTTTTCAATTCAAAGAGATGTTGGACTCAGTTTTTGGGAAAATTAAAACTTTGTTTTCTTAAACTCTAAATTCTCTTTTTCTTTGTATACAACTTTGTTTCAAAAGTGGCCACAACCATTGGGAGCAGCGCTTAAGGCAACTCTTCCACAGCTGACCAGAGGAACAATTAGAGAAACCATTACCTCCCATGCCTGGTCTGACCACTAAATCAAGGAGCAGAGGCAGTTCTGATAAGTAACTTCCTAAGTCTATAGAAACCAAGTTACACACTCAAAGGGAAGATTTAGAGGTGCCACACTCAGTTATCGCACAGCACCAAGTTTCTCCTCTGCAGAGTCCTAGCTCTCCAATCACTACCTTTTTTGCTTGACCAGACTCTTTGCTGAGTGACAGGTCAGTGACAGAAAACAGCAAGGAATCTGTGCTCTGATAATCAACTGAGCCCACCCTGCAGAAAATTCATCATTAATAAGTGTACCATTAGTTAAAACAAACATAAATCTTGGCTTTCTGTTTTTTAAAATGGTGACATATACTTACAATACATAATTTTATTTTTTTTCCTAATTCTATAGGTACAATTTACAAATACATAATGATCACATTCATCATAGGGAATTTGTACCTGTATATGATATACTTTGATGCCTTTTTTCCCATTCACCTTCTTCCCCTTCAACCCCTCTCTCCTTTCTTATTTATAAATGCTTGGTTTCCAGTTTTCCTTTTCCCAAATTTTTATTTTCCATTCCTTCCCTTCCTTCTCCCCACTCACTAGTTCCCCTTCCTATTTGAACTACTTCTTCCTATTTCACATCATTTATATGTTTTGGTCCTTATTTATACTTTCAGCTTCTCCCATCAGAGAGATAATGTGATACTCATACAAATATGTCCAAGTTATTTCAATTAAGAGTATAGTCCCAAGGCACATCCATTTACCTAGAAATGTCTCAAGTTTTGCTTTCTTTATGGTTGAATAGTATTCCATTTTATATTTTTAAAAACCTCACATCTGCTTTATCCATTCATTGGTTATTAGACATTTTGGCTGTTTCCAAGATTTAGTTATTACAAACTGTCCTGCTATACATATGGGTGTGCATATTTTGTTGTGATATGATGCTTTTAACTCATCAGGAAGGAATGACTCCATTCATATTATCAGAACATGGTACAATAAAATTGGAAATTTGAAACCATGAACTAAACGTGGAAATTAAACACCACCCTCCTGAACAACCAATAGATGACAGAAGAAATTAGAGAATAAATTAAACAATATCTACAGTTAAATGACAATTCTGACACATCATATCAGAACTGGACATAATGAAGCAGTACATAGAGGGAATTATAGAGGTGAACTGTCAGGAAACAGAGTGAGCACAAATAAACAACCCAGTGTTGAACCTTAAACTTGTAGGAAAAGAAGAACACGTAAAGCCCAAATCTCATACAAGTGGGGAAATTACAAAGAGCAGAGCAGAAATTAATGCTATTGAGACGAAGAAAATAGTACAAAGAATCACCGAATTGAAAAGCTGGTTCTCTAAAAGACTGAATAAAATTGATAAACCCTTATCTGACAGTATCAAAAAAAGGGAAATAAAAGATTCAAATTCATTCCATTAGGAATGAAAAGGATGATATCATAAAGGACCAGTGTTAATCCAGAAAATCTTGCATAAGTATTTTGAGAACCTCTAGTCAAATGGAAAACCATGAAGAAACGGACAGACTGCTAGATACATATAAATTACCAAAACTGAATGAAAAGGTATGAAAATTCTAATTAACCCAATATCAGTCAATGAAACTGAAGATATAATTGAAATCTTACCAACAAAGAAATCCTGATGGATTCACTGCTGAATTCTACAAGAAATTTAGAGAAGATCTAAAGCTATTATTCCTCAAATAATAGGAAATTTTAAGCACTCATTTTGGAAAGTTTTCTTTACATCTCCAACAACACTTCATAAACACTAAGCACTTTTACATTAGAGTACAACCAAGGTTCTAAACAATTCCTTGAAAGAAGAGGAGAGATTTCACTGGAGTTGTGCAATACACAGTAACAGTTTTGTCCCTAAGTCATGGATCAGTATTTTGAAAAGATCTCAGTGTAAGAAACAAAACAAGCATGGGGCGAAGGTGATGTAGTTAAAACTACCACAGTTCAAATACTGAAGGAAACGATTCCATCCCAGACAAACCATTTCAACATTGCTCCTGTCACTGAGAAGTAGAAAGTAAAATTATCTTTGAGACAAGCTAAAGTCTTTCTCTTAGCACATTTGTAAGAGGACTAGTAGTGACCTGGAATATTTAAATAAACTGTTAAAAATTTATTATTAAAACAATAATTTCTATTATAAGCAATTCAGAAATTAAAAATTCAAAGGAAACAAAATATATAACAACTCCACTATCTAAATACAGCTATTCAATAACATTAGTTATTTTGCATAAACTTATTTTGTTTTCAGTTTACAATGTAACTACATATATTTTTCCTATTTTAGGTTTTCAGCTCATGTTACAACTAATACATTATATTTAATAGAAATCTCATCTTAAATATATATTTTGGGATTTTATACTTGCTAACACTATAAATTTGTGATTATACAACTAAACTCATTTTAAATATATAATTGAAGCTACTATGTCTAACATTATAATAATTTGAAAAACTTGGTACAATATGTATTCACAAATAGTTTTGAAAAAGCTCCACTAATCTTCTGTGACCTGTATGAAGTTGCTCATTTGTTAGAATTTCAGTTTAATAATTTGTTAAACATTCTAATGCTAGTATGTTAAAACTTTAAAGATGTTAATATTTGACACCAATATTATCTAATTATAGTCTTAACACATGTCTTTCTGCTAGTAAAACAGAACAAGTCCATACTAGTAAGTATTTATTTGGGGTTATATGTTGTGAAAAACTTTTCTCATGCTTTCTAATGAACTACTATATTCAGGTTTATCTCTTCGTGATTTTAACTAACCATTCACAAACTCTTTGTTACGGGTAAAAATAGTTTCCTTTTTTCTCTGGGCTAACTTTAGTTTCCATTGTACTTCCAAGGATCTGGGCCTGGTATTTTGGAAATTATACAATCAGTTCCCATCGATGTAAAATAAATCTCCCTCCAAATGCTGGGTGTTTTTCAGTGTTTCTGCTTGCCATTGCACTAGTAGATGATCTCACTTGCCATTCGTGGGATCTAAAGACCTCTGCAATATGGTTTCTTCTTGGTATTATTTCACTGGAACAGTATACATAAAATCACCATACTGTTAAAATCTAGGGCTTTTTGAAGTTACCATGTTGCCAGTTTCCTTCACAGTGTTACACCCTGCTGTCCATTCCTTCTTTCTTGAAAGGTTTGCTTCCTCTAAATTTTGTTTCATTATATTCTTTTTTGTGTTTCTCCCATCTTTTGACCAAGCTCTACAATGTCTTGCAAGAGCTTCGGTTCTCTTGTCATCCATTCTTCTTAGGAATCATCTCTGGAGTTCTAATTTGGCCTTTTCTAATTCTTAGAGTGCACTAGCCCTGTCCTTGCACATTCTTCAATCATTGTTATCTTCCCTGAGACAAATATCCAAAGTCTTTCTATGTATCCCACAGATTCTGCAAGCCAACAGAGAAAATGCTTGTTTCTTCACTGCCTTTGATTAAGTTCAAAGTTTTTCACACACCAGGGTCTTGTTTCACGCCTTCAGATGCACCTATTAAGATCCTGTCTTAGTGTCCTAGATGTATTATAGTGTTACGCACACACTTCCTTTGTCCACACACTTTGCTTATACAGCTTTCTATGTCTGAGATTACCCACTTCACCAATGGCATTCCTGTTTCAGGTTTTCATGTTTTACTTTGGAAATTACATTCTTTGTGAGTAAAATTCCTGATCTGTGAGCAGGATATTCCTTACTGAATTTAGTGGAGGGATGTTCACTCCATAGGACCCTAAAAAGATGACACAACAGCATTTATTACATTATACTTCTCTACATATGT